ATAATAATGAATGCAAAAAAGAATTACATAAATATAATTGTCATTTTTTATACACAAAAGAATTACTTTTACAAAAAAATAATTATAATATAAAGTTGAAATAAATATTAAAATATTAAATTTTAAAAAGATATTGTAATTACGTTGCACCTCAGTTTATTTATGTAGTATTTATTATAAAATAATATATTTGTAATTATACTTTATATATTACAAGATTTTGTTTTAAATATCAGAAATGTCACATAATGTAATCAAACAAATTTGTTTCTTTCATGACTGACATTTTTTAATTGTAACTATTATTTTTGGAATAAAGATATATAAGTTTTATTTTTTTTACATTTTTATATGTTTTACACCTATTTTAGTCTTTTTCTCTGAACTATTCTTGACTTTAAATTTTTTTATAAAAATTAGAAAAATGAAAAACAAAATTAATTTTAAAATGAATAAAAATGAGAAAAAATTAAGTAATAAAGGAAGAGAGGTCTTATATAAATTTAAATTAATAAAACATAACTATTTTATCCATAATTGTTTAATATAGTTTAAATTATTGATGTTTTCCTGGTTTATCATGTAGATTAATATACAAAAAAATTGTTTTATTCATATTAAAAAGTTGAAGAAAAAATAATAATGAATGTGAATCGTAAAAATAGTGAGATAAAAATATAATTTGTACACTATAGCTATGAACATAATAGTTGTTATAATAATAATCATATTAAAAATATATCGTTTTTAGAGTAATTAGTTGGGAAATAGAAATAGTTGGAAGAAACTGGAAGGAACAGGAAGAAATTAGAAGAAAATGGACGAAATTGGAAGAAATTAGAAGAAATTAGAAGAAACTGGAAGCTAAGAATTCAAACCCTAAAGAACATGTTCTAAATCATAGTATAATCTTAATTTGTCGTCATATTTGACCTCAGGATCTATGAGCTCGACATCCTCTCCTCGAACCAGTTGAGCTACCCAAACGGGATATTGCTTTCTATTAGAATGTATTATTGTTCATACACATTTTTATTTTTCAAATTATTGAGGTGTATGAAGTGAACGCTCCCAGTTTATTGGTAAACTACTTCTAAAGGTTTTAGATGAAAAGTTTACTCATGAAAAGGTTTTAGATGAAAAGTTTACTCACGTTTATATATATACGTACATACATATATACTAGTACTAGTACCTTAACTTGTGCCTTGCACGGGATTGAACAAAATTTCTATCGATTCAAAAAATGTTTTTCAATGTAATATTTTCTAAAATTAAAGAAAATATGTCTACCATAATTTTCTAATATTGTAGACATTAGCATCAAAGTAGAATAAATAATATTGCAATTAACATTTTGTAAATTCTTATACACAAAGTTGAAAGAGTGCATGACAAAGAACTTCTAATGTTTCATGTCACCTACAATTCATTGGGATTTCGGCAAGGGTATCATAAATAGTCACCATGTTTTTACCTGACAGAAACATAAGCATTAATTTTTCATGTATCAAAGGCACATCAAAATGATCAGAACACAAACAATATATATTTTTTAGACTAAACAAAAATATTTTTATATATGCTAAGCGCAAAAACTTGTGTAGTATTACACAAATGATGAAGCATTAATTTAGCTTGGATAACCTCAAACATTTACACTATATTTGGCTCAAGAGTTTGAGAAAAAAGAGAAGAATATAATCAATATGTGAGGATTAAACAAAATTAATCTCTTATGAATAAGTTGCTTCTTAAATTTGAGCTTATCCTAAGTCATTTCATCATTATGAAGATGATTATTAAACAAAACTAATTTTTAAGATACAATCTATAAAACTAATATTTTAAACATAACTTATAGGATTTTTTTTAGAATTTTTAATACTTATCTTAAAGTACATCTACATGTGAATTTTCTCACATTTTTCATAGGCCAATATGGGGATTGTTTTTTCTTCAAAGAGCCACATTCATTCATGACATGTATACACTAAAATCTATAAAATGAGTGTGAACATTAGAACCACGAAAAATTTACTTTTAGGAGACATAAGAGCATTGAAATCTTTTTTTCATCCGCTTATATATACCAATTTGATTGAGTAGTCATCAAACAATCCGTAAATCAGTAATATTCATAAAGGGAATGTCTAAATTGTACATTGTCAAACATTTCCTTCATCAAATATTAACAAATTCTCATCGTCTTAATTAAAAGAAATGACATTAAACATAACTCAAAGCACCATTAACAAAGCAAGCAGAAGTAACTAAATAAGAAAAATTATAAGTAGCTTATAGATGATCATATGGTTCACTTAAGAGTTTATAGACATTTTTATAGCTACACAGGAATTTTGTAATAAAAAAAAGTAGAAGACCAAGATGTATAGAGTACAAAGGAGCATCAAGTAGATTAAAACTACTCTAGCAACATAGGAGATGTTTTTACTTCCACCAATTGTATTCAAGTAACAATAAAAGTAGAAATCAGATCACAATACTCAACATCAATTTCTTATGAATACCGTAACACATTCCAACATTAAGAGCCTAATTGTAGAGTATGGGAATCTCAGGAGAGAGGAGAGACATCGCCAGTGCATATGGACAATGAGAAACTTGATTGTATGTAGTCATTACAAATAACCTGCACATGTTCTAAAGCCAATTACTTGTGAATGCCCAATCGTAGGAGCAGTAGCTTATAGAATGATACTTTACAGAACTCTATAGAAACGTACCATTGATGAGTTTAAAAAATTCACAGCATATGATGGACTTGTAAAATTGTTTTTTAAAAAATAGCAGATACATATGTAATTACTAAGTGTGTGCAAAAGTGCAAGTGGATGGTGAACAAAATAGATATTTTTATTAGTCAAATTAATATGAAAGAAATGACTTATAAATTCAAGGAGGCAATGAAATCAGAATATGAAGAACACTCGAGTTAGAGGCATTGAACACCACTTGGGTGTTTATACATTTTCTTACACATGTTCTTAATATTACTAAATTAAATGGCATTGGTATGTAACTGTAGTATATAATATGATAAAGGTAACTAACTTGGAATATGTGAGCAACACCATCGAGATAAAATTTCATATCCTTTGTTGTCCCTGGATGGGAATCTCCTTCACCATTGTCTTTACCTATATTTGATTTTGTTCCATTCCCCTTGTATGGTAAGAGCATATCAATCAAGCCTTACATATCATAGACCATATAAACTGCCTAAACATAGAATGATATATCTTTAATGTATAATCTTAAGTGATGTAGATAACACTAAATAACTAAAATTAGGAAGATACCTCTGTCCCATTCATTGCACACTGATGCACTACATGCTCATACCTAATCATTGGCAAACACATGCAATCCTTTTGAGCACTTGATGATTACGTACCGTCAACGCTTTAGCTCTAGAACATGATGTACTGAAACCAAATGAAAATTCAATTTCCCTTGTTTGTTAGTTAATGTGATGTTTTGGACAGTAAATGCAAGAATGCATCTATGGTCTAATGAAAATAGCCATTTTATTCTAACATTAAGACTACATGTATCTTAATCCCAAGAGTATAAAAAAGTTGGTATCATTGGGACGTTATTGTTATTAAGTAATATGGGGCATGAAGCTCTTATTTTTCCAAGAGGTTGCTAATAGAGTCTAAGGTTCAAGGTATGGTAATTATCACGTAAACACTCTTTTAATAAATTAATTCTCAATTTGTTAATCAGATAGATCATACTCCCTCCGTCCCCCTGTATTTGTCCACTTTCATTTTTACACACCATCCAATACACATAAGAACAAAGATCAGCATACTTGAAATGTAACCTCACGTACCCTAAATTTTTTTAAATCATTTATATGAATCTCAAGAACTACCAAATTCCATGGTAGAAAAAACATAGGAAGTTTATATAAAAAAACACCATTCTTTTTGGGTTATAGTTGATGATTAATGTTTTAGAATTGATCAAGTAGGATCTTACTTCATGCTATAAAACATACATCATGCTATAAAACATAGTTTAATTTGTTTTGCAATTTATCCTCTTTCTTGAATTTGAATTGAAAATTTAGAAATCTAAAATTCTAATAAACACAAAAATGAGAGTAGTTTTCATGCTTAATATAGACATAGAAATTTGGGAAAAATACCTAAGCAGATAAGAACTTATTAAAATACCCCTTTTATATATATAATAGAAATACCTTAGTGAGGGTGTGAAATAACATCAGAAACCCTAGTTAGTCATGGAACCAATGATTAGCCCTATAAGTATTTAAATAGTTTACCTTTGAGAACTCAAATAACCAATTATTGCTAATTTGGCCTTAAGAACAAATAGAGGGGAAGAAACTGACCTGAGATTGAGGATGCATATGTTTGGGAAGAGAGAATTCTAAAGGGCCATATGGCCATTGTAACACACAACTTTGAATATTAAAACTCCCTTTTACTCTTTAAGTATTTATAAAATAGTGTGATGCTAGTTTAGCCAAATTCCTAATTCTATATCTTAAGAGTGGTTATCTTAAGTGTGAGTTTTAGGTTCTAGCTATTTGATTAAGTGTGTCATATCTTAATTAAATTCTAGATTCAAACCCAAAGTTAGGATAAGAGTGTGTAATATCTCTTAAACACCAACTTGGTTTATCCATCCCTGATTTTTTCTTCCATTTCTTATCTCCCCATTTCTCCTCTTAACCTTACTCTTTTCTTCCACTAAAAACACCCAAAAGAACACCTTCATCTCCTCCATATTTTCCACTCAGATTTTGGGTTCTGACTGCCTTGATAATCGACTATCAACAAGGAAAATCGACTATCGTTCCCTCCTGAACTCCCTTTGAATAAGCTGCGAACCCCAATAATTGATTATTATATAATCGACTATCTCCCTTCCCTGAAGTTTCTGGGTTTTAGCAGCACAGCTCTACAATCGATTAACACCTGACCATAATCGATTATCACCTGCTCCTGAACCTTGAACTCAAGCTGCATCATCCCTTAACTCCTTTTCAAAATAGCAACTCGTTTATACCCTGGGTCTCGGGTATAACATCTGGTATCAGAGCTTCTTGTTCCTATATCCCAGAGGGCCAAGAAAACTCTTCCACTCTTTCTCCTTTCCTTCATCCTCATTACGGCCAAAACACTCTCCCCTCCCCATTTAATTCATCCAAGCTACTGCCCTACTTTCATTATTTCACTCCCTAGTTCAAAATATGTCTCACACCTCCCAAAATATCACCAAGGAAGATTTGGTTGCATCTAATGCCGAACTCAAAGCTCAAGTTGAGTATTTGGCCAAACAAGTGGCTCAACTTACCAAGTTGAAAATGAGCATGGTCCAAACTCCAGAGGAAGGCAAAGATGAGCAAGAAGAGGACGTCCAATCCGAAGTTCCTTCTCCCACGATGAGGAGAAACAACCAAGAGAAGTCTTCCTCTGACTTCAAGGTTGAAATCCCAACCTTCGATGGAAAAGATGACCCGGATTATTTCATCAAATGGTTAGAGACGATTGAACGCGTCTTTGACTATACCGAAGTGCTGGAGGACAGGAAGGTCAAGCTTGTGGCCTTAAAATTCAGAGGCTACGCATCTACGTGGTGGACTAACACTACCACCAAGCGCAAAAGAGAAGGCAAGGTTGCTGTTAAAACATGGACAAAGATGAGGACTTTATTGAGGAAGAAATTCATTCCCACCCATTATATAAGGGAAAACTTTGCTAGGCTTCAACACCTAAGGCAAGGAAATCGGTCCGTCGAAGAATACAACCGAGAGTTTGAAGAACTCTTGATGCGGTGTGATCTCCAAGAGAATGACTCGCAAACCTTTGTGACATATCTCTTTGGCCTAAACACCCAAATCCCTAACACCGTGGAGCTGCAAACCTTTGAGAACCTTGAAGAGTTAACCAAGTTAGCACTTAAAGTGGAAGCCCAACTCAAGAAGGGTAAATCTTCTTTGAGCCATGGCAATTCTTCCTACCCAAGCACATCATATTCCACCCCCTGCTGCCCAAAACCCCACAGTCTGTTCCCCTCAAAATCCTAAAACCGTGCATCCTATTTCCTCACCCAGTGCTCCTCCTCTGTCAAAACCGAGCTCATCAAATAGCCGAATACAAAAGTGTTTTCGTTGGTTATTGTCGAATGTGAAGAAGAAGAAATGAATCCATTTTGGGTTCAAGGAGAGCTGAACAAAGAAGAAGAAATCGTCGGCCCCGATGAAGGTGAACTTTTGGTCATTTAGAAGACCATTAGCGGGAGTAGTGTCAATGTTGTTGCCAAAATAGTGGAGGAAAAGCTCAACTTAAAGGTGGTGCCACATCCGAGACCATATGAGATCCAATGGTTGAATCTTAACGAAGGGATACGTGTGAATACACGTATTTTGGTCTCCTTTAGCATCGGTCAATCCTTTCATGACAACATGTGGTGTGATGTGATACCCATGAGATCTTGTCACATTCTCCTCGGGAGGCCGTGGTTATATGATCGGAGAGTTACCTACGATGGTTTCACCAACTCGTATTCATTTGAGATGGATACAAGGAGACTCACTCTTGCTCCGATGATTCCGTCTATCCAACTGCCCCAGGCACAGTTCCATCCATACTTTCCATCTTGATGAAGTCAAAATATTCAAGGCCCGAAGAGTCACCCCATGAACCTGTGTTGTACCCAAAACATCCCTCGTGCCTCGTTGAAAGCCCTCGACACAAACCCTGCTGTAAAAGGAGAAATCATGGGACCGAGTTAATACTAATGGCGCCAATGTTTCTATGCATTATTTGCAGGAATTCCATGAAGATACGCATGAGAGAAAGAACACTCATTTTGAGTGTACCCGTGTTTCCAAATTTCCCTTCCAAAGCAAAGAGTGTTTGAAGATGAAGATTCAAGCATGATAGCATTCCGCTCTAAAGATGAACATGAAGAAAACTCAAGTTTGAGGGAAAACTCTTTCGAAGAAGGGGAGGATGTTATATCTAGGGTCACTGCATCCAAGCTGCGAGACGTATTTCAAATGTTCAAGCAAATGAAGGAAGCCAAGGCTGAGGACTTTGCTCCTTTTTGGGTGGAAACCAGCCTTGGACTACAAGGTCCAGCCATAACCCCTTGGAGCCCCCATTTCCCATCTAAAATTGAACCCCCCCTCTCCAAAAACCATGTCCCAAAATATCCAAAAAAAACCAGCCCAAAAATAACTCCATCTTCATTCCCATAATTCCACTTTTCCATCACTAGCATACACCCATCACCTTCTATCCGTATGTCTATCCCGAGAGCTCTAATAATCGATTGTTGATCACTAGCAATCGACTATCACACCCTCCTGAATTTCCCAGGCATCAACAGCAAACCCAAATAATCAATTATCAGTTATTGATAATCGACTATCTTCCATCCTTAAAACTCTTGGGTTTAATTGCACCATTCAATAATAACCAGCCCAAAAACTACATTATTCCTTTCCCCTCTCCCCTACACTACTGGCCACAAATCTCTGCCCAAAACCCATGCCATAACCCAATCCTTGTTCCCCATTATGTCCATCAACTTGGATACACAAACAACCACTATAATCCAAGACATAATGACCCACCAGTACACCAATCAAACCTTACCTTGTTTCCCTTAAAACTACCCACAACAAACCTCCAAAACAACCCACCATCCCCTGCACAATTCCTTCCCCCCTTGGCAAAAATAATCCACCTATTCATCAATAAAGTGGCCTGCATTCACATGCCAAACAACCCCACAATCCCAGGCATCCATCTCTGATTTCAGTCCATTAAGGAGACAAGAATAAATGGGTATTATCCCATGTTTTTGAAATAGTTGCTTCCAGGAAGTTGACAGTTGTAGTTTTTCCTCCCCAGTAAAGGGTTAGTTTTCTCTCCGAGTGTCGTATCTCTCGAGGAGTGGACGAAGGGAATTAGTTTAATTACTCTAATTAGGTGAAGATTAGGATTGGTTTATGAAAGCCTTCTCGAAACGAATAAAAAGGGAGCAGAGTAAAAATAATAAATTTAGTTTACATAGTATAAGTATAGATCTGGACCTAGGGTCTGGACATCATTTGGATCTATTTTATCATATTAAATTAACAGTTGGAATAATAATATTTCTATTACTACTCATCCATTTCTAGATTTGTACTTAATCCGTTGTACTTGAATATTATAGCCTATTGGCGTACAATATTTTCTCAATAAATAGTTAATTAAATCTTTCGATAATAATTAACTAAATAAGGCAAGAACAATAGATTAACCATTCCAACATTAATTTAACATAAAAAAAATAAACAACCAAACTAGTCCGGACCCAGAGATCCGGACCCTAACTCATACTATGCAAACATGAATTTAAAACAACATTTTATTAAATAAAGAAAACTTACAACCTCCGTAAAGCGGAACGGAACAGATCTGGAGTCAAAACCTCCGAAAATACTTCAAACTAACTACTAAAACTAATATACAAGCTAAAATGGAGACGGGATATGTAAATCCCGAAGTTGGGATGGAATGGGATGATGAAAATGAGAGGGATCGAGCTGTATTTATAGGAATGGATCCAAGGCGTCCAAGTCAAAGCGTCCAAGTCCAAGCGTCCAGATCGGGACGCCTGAGCTGTTCCGGCCAACCAGATTTTGCCACGTGTCTTTCTTGGATTGCAATCTAGCTGAAGCGTCCAACTCCCAAGCGTCCAACTTGGGCAAGCGTCCAAGTTGGACGCCTGGAGGCCTTGGTCCGTTGGGCTTCGCGGCTGGTTCATGATTTTGGCCCAATTTCGCTCCGTTTTGGCCCCGAACACTGTTTTTGACCTCCCGGAAGCTCGTTCAAGCCCGAATCTTGATCCTTTGATGATTTATTCCCTTTTTCTCAAGTATTTGAACATAAATGGATGATTTATGATGATTTCACGTGGAATCCCATTTTATGACTCTTAGAACGAAAATGAGAGTTTTATCCATTAAAATCACATTTTATGAGATGATTAAATACTATTTACGTGCAATAACGTTTAGAATATGATGTAAATGATAAGAACGAAAAGGACTTATCAGAAGTTTCCTTATGTCTACATTCAGTGTATTGTGTTTTCCTTCCCCCCTTCCCCTGCCTATATAATCAGGCCATATGGCCATTGTAACACACAACTTTAAATATTATAACTCCCTTTTACTCTTTGACTATTTATAAAATAGTGTGATGCTATTTTAGCCAAATTCCTAATTATATATCTTAAGAGTGGTTATCTTAAGTATGAGTTTTAGGTTCTAGCTATTTGATTAAGTGTGTCATATCTTAATTAAATTCTAGATTCAAACCCCAAGTTAGGATAAGAGTGTGTAATATCTCTTAAACACTAACTTGGTTTATCCATCCCTGATTATTTCTTCCATTTCTTATCTCCCCATTTCTCCTCTTAACCTTACTCTTTTCTCCCACTAAAAACACCCAAAAGAACACCTACATCTCCTCCATATTTTCCACTCAGATTTTGGGTCATGACTGCCTTGATGATAATCGACTATCAACAAGGATAATCGACTATCGTTCCCTCCTGAACTCCCTTGGAATAAGCTGCGAACCCCAATAATCGATTATCATATACTGATAATCGACTATCTCCCTTCCCTGAAGTTTCTGGGTTTTAGCAGCACAGCTCTACAATTGATTAACACCTGACCATAATCGATTATCACCTGCTCCTGAACCTTAAACTCAAGCTGCATCATCCCTTAACTCCTTTTCAAAATAGCAACTCGTTTATACCCCGGGTCTCGGGTATAGCACACACACAAGTGTATTACTACTGAAATGGGAAAAATACAATGTGTTGAAATGCAAGGCCTGTGGCCAAATTTATACATACACACACAAGGGAGACTACCAAGTCTCTTATTCACACAAATCAAAGATGGAATAATAGCCACTTATTGATGTACTTTTATTGTGGAACAAAAACAGCAAAGGGTGTACTTGTGGGGTTGGGTTTTTCGGCCATAAGTGGGGAGAAATATATGTGAAAGTATCCCACTTATTTGGCTGGTTTGGGTAGGGATTATTCGGCCAGGGAGGGGGGTTTGAATGAGGGAAAATGGCTGGCTATTTTGGAGGTTTAATATGGAGGATACATTGGCTGGTTGATTGGTGGGGATTGTGGACCCTTATGTTTTGGATTATAGTTATTGTTTGGCCTAACTAGTTGGGGAGTAGAATGGGGAACAAGAATGGGTTATGACATGGGGTTTTTTGGCTGGTTATTTTCGGCCATAACATGGGGGAAAAGGAGTGGTTGCTTAGGCTATGATTTCAGGTGGTTTTGGCCTTTGGTGTATGAATGTGATAAGTTCATTTTGTTCTTATTTTATTCTACATATTTTAAGCGTTATTGCACGAAAATAGTAATAAATTTACCCATTGAAAGTGTCTACTAGTAACAAAACTTATGTTCTGTCTCAAGAAGAATAAAATATGGGTTCCAAATTAAATTAAGTGGATTTGTCAATTTTATGTACAAATTGGATAAAAAATTTCAGATTTTAAAGATCATAATATTTTGGAGGTAGAAATCAGTGCCCGGGAGCCAATTGGGCCAATACGAAACAACTTCGGGCCCAAAATCACGAGAAACCGCAATTAGAAGCAAAATGGGCGCTGGATTCGGTTTCTGGGCGTCCAAAGTTGGACGCCTGGGGTAGTTGGACGCCTAAGCAAGGCTAGTGACACGGAAATGACACGCAGCGCAGCAGGAGTGGACGGAACACGTGGTCAGGGGACGGGCGTCCAAAATTGGATGCCCAGGGAGTTGGACGCCTGCGATTGCTGCCCTATAAATACCACGCGATGTCCACCATTCCACACACCATCTCACAACCCATTTCGGGTTTCCCCTTCAATTTGCTCAATATTTCATTGTATATTAGTTTAGTTATTATTTTTAAGTATTTTCCAGAGGATTTGACTCCCGATCTGTTCTGTTCCGCTTTTACGGAGGTTGTAAGTTTTCTTTATTTAATAAAATGCTATTTTAATTTATGTTTGCATATGAGTTAGGGTCCGGATCTCTGGGTCCGGACTAGTTTGGTTGTTTATTTTTGATGTTAAATTAATGTTGGAATGGTTAATATATTCTTCTTGCCTTACTTGATTAATTAAACTCGAAAGATTTAATTAGCTATTTATTGAGAAAATATTGTATGCCAAAAGTCTATGATATTCAAGTGCAACAGATTAAGTACAAATCTAGAAATGGATGAGTAGTAATAGAAATATTAGTATTCCAATTGTTAATTTAATATGATAAACTAAATCCAAATGATGTCCACACCCTAGGTCCAGATCTATACTTATATTATGTAAACTTAATTCATTATTTTTACTCTGCTCCCTTCATAATTGTTCCGAGAAGACTTTCATAGACCAATCCTAATCTTCGCCTAGTTAGAGTAATTAAACTAATTCCATTCGTCCACTCCTCGAGAGATACGACACTCGGAGAGAAAACTAACCCTTTACTGGGAAGGTTTACTACCCGAAAAACTACGATTGTCAAATGGCACCGTTGCCGGGGAGTGGCATGGCATTAGTTTAATTTCTTCTGATTAGCTTGGGTGAAGATTTGTTAGAACGATCTTCTCACTTTCTTTCACCAACCACCCGTAATAATTATTAGGGATAACCCCAGTGGTTATTACGGTCCGCCTTCTTTCTACCAATCACCCAACCGCCCTTCGTTTCAACCCCACCAAACCTATCACCCACATTAGTACCCAAATGATAATACTTACCAAGTCAACAATAGATCTGACTACTATCCCTACCATGAGGAACCACCATATGATACCCCGTCTAGAAACTTTGGATATTCTCCATACCAAGATCCTGATGGGGATGATTATTATGAACCTCATGGTGACCAAGATGACTATGACCAATTTGGGCCTATGTGTGACGATCAATCTGATCCACTCGTCGAAGAAATAATAAGATTAGAACAGAAAATCTTCTATTTCGACGAACTTTTATTCGCTGAAGGCTCGTGGTATGAACCACCCTACTCCCGTGACTACACTTTGTTTGCTGAAGAACAAATTGAAGCAAACAAGGTGGCAATTCGAGAAAGAGCAAAACTTCTCGAATCAGTCCGGAAGGAAAAGGAGTTCGAAAGGAGATTATGCGAAGGATCAGATATGATGCAGAAAATGCTAGATGACTTCCAAAGAGAGAGACTAGAAGCGGAGGCTAAAGCTGATAAATTAGTCAATGATCTCTGCAAGGCTGTTGAACTTAAACACTCCCTCCGATCTCAAGATCAAATGAGGGAGATTAATGTTCAAAAAGAGGCTCTAGAACCTAAGACCAACAGGTTCTAGTTCTAGAAGATTCACTCAGTTCTACACCATCACTGAAACCCGAGAGCATAACAACTCTCGCTAGGGCTACTGTGGTGATGTTACCTGAATACCGTCCTAGCCAAGTCCCAACCAGCATAGTCGTACATGAGGTGGAACCAACTGAGGGACCTGACTCAGAACCACCTATGCTTATTCAAGAAAAGGAGGAGGAAGTTTTGCCTACGGCAATAAACGACCATCTCCTTAATTGTGTTGAAGACACACCTCCAGAGGAACCTGTTCTGGAGGAGATAGAGCCCACTACCTACCCCCAAGATTCCAACGTTCAAGAGTCTGAGGAGGAATCTATAGACGAAGAAATACTTAGCACAGAGGAACCAATAACGTCTATAGATAATCATGCTTCATCAGAAGACTTAGACCAAACTTTCTTTGACTCCCTACTTGACGGGTGTGACCTTGTCTGCCCGAAGGATAGTTGGAGCCAAAAGAGTTGGGATGAACTTCTGGTAAGTAACACTGAAGACTCATTCATGGGGGAAAGCATGTTCGTAATCATCAAACCTCAAATGGATAGTCAGCCTATTGAAGATAAGAAAGAAATCAATTTCACAATCAAGGCTAACGATGTGGATCTACTGAGGAGACTTCCGCCACCACCCACCTATACCAAGTCTCCTCCATATATCCTGTTGCCACCATGGCGCAGGGAGGAGTCAAGGATCCTAGACCTTGACCGAGCAAAAATTCAAACAGGGTGGCATCAGAAGAGAGTTAGAAGGACCAAACTTTATGACTCTCGGATCGGAAAGTCGCGGAAAAAGTGGGTGAGCGTCAAGCTATGGACGTTAAAGAAGCGCTTAACGGGAGGCAACCCGTCATTTCAAATAAATATTTAAATAAATTCAATAATTTTATTTGTTATTCTTGAGTTTCTACTTGCCGCACCAGTTTTGGGGGCAAGATTTTATGTGTTTGTTTATGTGCGTGCAGATGCCTCATCGTCCTTCTTACCCTACTGTGGACCGTAATGAGGTCCAACTGATTGATGCTGCTTCTAGGACGAGGTTCGATGAGTGGGGACACTCACGGGTGTTACACGAGTCTGTGTGTCTTGCTCAGGACACACTGACAGACTATGGCTATGCAGAGGAGATGGAGGAGCTGCTTGAGGGGACCAGATGGCAGCGCCTGCTTCAGATGAGGGCAGAGTCTAGCCTACCACTAACCATCGAGTTCTTATGCTCGATATCTACTATCCCGGAGATTGAGTCACGCCAGATGACTCAAACTTTGATCACTTTTGATACCACATTTGCTTTCACTCTTGCGGGCCAGTCATTTCATTTGACAGTGAGAGAGATGGGTGTTCGTCTCGGGATCTACACCCAGGAGGAGACCGAGCAGCCTGAGTTCTACGACGATCCCTTTTGTCTTCCCGCAGATTTTGATGCTATAGCTTTCTGGAGGGAGCACTCATCTGACGACAAGGAGTTCGTGAACAAGAAGAGTAAGGCACGCTACTGGATTCGGCCCAGCTGGAGGATCCTATCTTTTGTTCTTTCGACATCCTTCTTTGGGAGGCCGTCGAACACTGATAGGGTTTACGAGGAGGATATGTTTGTCTTTTGGAACTTGCACGACCGCCAGCCGGTGAACGTGGCGGTGTACCTGGCCAGATTCTTATACTCCCAGTCCTACGGGTGTAGGATGCACTTGGTGTGTGGGTTCGTAATTACACTGCTCTTTCGCTCCCTCATGGGGAACGCACCGATCCCACGGTCTGTGTAGTTGATGAGGGATTTAGATGCCGGCATGCTCCGGAATGCTTACATCCACCGGAGACTCTTTCCTAGCTCTTTTGAGAGCACTACGGCCTCTACTGGCCGCACTTCACATGAGATTGGAGAGTCCTCCGATCAGTCACAGAGATCGTCTCAGCGCCTTCCTCGTCGATGACCTACCAGAGCACAGTTGGCTCGCGCTCAGACGGAGGTAGCACCGGCATGGGCCCAGCAGCTCTTGTAGAACCAGAACACACTTATGCAGTCCGTTGCGGCACTCCAGCAGCAGGTGCATGGTTTAGACAGGATACGTGAGGCATTGGGTTTCGAAAACCCGACAAACCTCCCTCCGCGTCAGCAGCAGCCCAGAGATGATGATCCCTCCACCTCTCGGCCTCCGCAGTGATCTCCTACTTTCTTCAGAACTTCTTATCTTATTTGAGCTGGAATTGATGACTTGACTGGTTTATTTGGATTCTTGTTTGACTTCTCCTGGTAAACTTTTATGGTTATGCTTATTTACTATTTCAATCATCATTTTGAATATGTTACATATGCAACCATCTTAGTCATCATATCCTTGGTATTTCAACCAGAAATTCTACTTTGAAACACTTTTTTTTGCCGCGAGGCCGCGGTTCCATTCAAGTGTGAGGAGGATGTGAATTATTGGTTGACATATTCCGGGTTAGAATTGTTTTTTTTTGCATATTTGTGGGTAAAGATTTTATAACTATGGTAATCAACTCTTTTGTTTAAATAATTAAGTTTTTAGTTATCACCCATAAAAACTGGGAATTTTTAAATATTTTGTCAACTTTTATTCTTTTCCCTAATTTTTTTTCAAACGATTTCTAAAATCATTTGGGATACATTAGTATTTTCTAAGTTTTTTTAGATCAATCAAGTTTTAAATAGCCTCTTTAAAAATGTCATTTCTCATAAAGGTTTTTTTTAAATATTAGGGTCTATATATAAAAAAATTCTAATGGTTTAAATTTTATTAGGATTGCGCTTAAGTGACGAATTGGAAATTCTATCTCCGTAAAGGGGCTCTGCTTCTCCCGCTAATCGCATAAGGCGAGGGAGCAAGTATGCATTTGTCATAGAATAAATCCACAATCTCAATAATGCAATATGCGTTGGCATTTCGAGAATTCTCTCATGATAAATAATGCTTAATAAAATAAATAGGCCCTTATTGTTTGACGAAAACCTTTTTGGAAATCCATTTTTTAGAGCTTTTAAACTCTTTTTTATTTTAAAATAATCCTTAGAAATATGATTATCCCAATGAAAATTTAGAGTTTAGTTTGATTTAATTGGGTAAGAAAACTTGTTTGACAAAGTATTTTCAAATTGTTGGAGTTGTGCCCTGATGGCCAACTGTTTATCGTTATTCTATCATGTATAGGCAGATATAATATGTTTACACATCTCATGCTAATGTAAACAAATATTATATTCCTAGATTTATATTTAAAAGATGTTTATCAGATACTGTTCTTCTGCTGATGAGACTAACATCTTGAAACAAATATTTATCTAAATGTCCATAGTCGAGTATTAACGAGAGTTGGATATCGTTAATGAAAATAATTATTTTGACATAAACTATTTAAAGTATATTTGTATACTTGTTTAAAAATGATGTTGGTATTTTATTTGATTTAAAATTAATTTTATATTAATTTTTGGTGTCAAATAAAATACACTTTAAACATTTGAGTGGAGAAGAATTTCACAAATCCTTCTCATATCATTGTTCGGCCAAGTGGAGATTTTAAAGGATCAAATTTCTATGATTGAAATTAGTGGAGCTAATAATGTTTTAACCTTTAGCTTAATGACAAAGTATGATTAATCAATTTGTAATCTTTGTTTTTTAAATAACACGGCGATTCCATTTTAAAGAGTGAGGATCATCAATTGATTACTTAAGCATACTTAAGCATACTTTCGGCCATTGTATTTCTAGTGAGAGAAAAATATTACTACCTCCGTCCCGTGAAACATTTCCCCTTTCTTTTTTTATCTGTCCCACAAAACACTTCTCATTTCTATTAAAAAGTCACTTTTACCCCTTACTTTTTCATACCCTAACTATCACATCATACCTTTTTACTAATAATCTATCCATCAAATCATACTTTTACCCATCACATCAAAGGACATTTTTGGAAATTCAATACCAAAATACACTCCCTTAAATCCCTCCTAAAAAGCAAATGTCCCATGTTTCACGGGACGGA